TTGAGAGAGAACCCTGGCGAGAGAGTGTAAGTAAGATGTAGGGTGGGTGAAAAGGGCAGCGGGAACTTCAACGAGTTTAAGTGAGGTTGGCTTTAATCCGTAGGTTTCCTGACTTGAAACGCTCGAGGGGAAACCCTGGCGAGATAGTGTAAGTGTGGCGTGGGGAGAGCGGGCAACGGCAACTTCAACGAGTTGAATGGAGGTTGACATGAACCCGCTGGGTTCCTCACATGACGCGCTTGAGAGAGAACCCTGGCGGGGGAGTCCAAAAAAGATGCAGGGTGGGCGACAAGGGCGAAGAAACCCCCGCGCCCCCCCCACCCAGCCCCCCCCCCACCCCCCCACCCACACACGCACACACACACACACACACCACACACACACACACACACACAACACCCCACACCACACCACACAACACCCACCACAATCAGCCGCCACCAACCACCACCCCGCCCCCACCCCCACCCCCACCCCCCACCCCACCCCACACCCCCCCCACACCCCCCCAAACACACACTCACACACCCACCACCACGCTCCCCTCCGCCGCCCCCCCCCACCCCCCCCCCCCCACCCCCACCCACCCACCACCACACACACGCACGCACGCGCGCACACGCACACACACACACACGCATACACACACGCACACACACACACGCACACACGCACCACACTTTGAATGATCAGCGGCTCTCCCGTGCCCAGAGTAGACCCATCGGGATAACGCCCGAGCCTTCGAGGGAACCATATACGCGTCGCCAGCCGTGGCCTCACCACACGCACGCACACACACACACACGGGCACGCAACGACACCTCGGCGGAATCGCATGGAGTCGCGCGCGCGCCCTGCGGCCGACGCAAAGGCTGTGTGTAGAGCAGCCGAGCAACCGAGGTCGTCTGTCACGCGCGCTGCGGCCGACCGAGATCGCACCCCCCCCCTCCCCATGCACTTGCCGTTGCATTTGCCAAGTGCTGCAACCTCGCCATCCGAGACCCCCCCCAACCACCACCACCACCACACACGCACCCACGCGCACACACACATACACATCGCGCACGCACCGACCCCCCCCCCCCCCTCCCCACACACACACACACACCAAAAACACACACACAAACACACGCCACCACCACCACCACCACCACCAGGACATGCACCACCACCACACACCACCACCACCAACAACCGCCACAACCACCACCACCACCACCACCACCGCCGCCGCCACCACGTCCACCGCCACCGCCCCGCCCCAGCGCGCACGCACATGCGCAAACACACATGCGCACGCACGCACCCACGCGTAACTGCACGCACACACGCGCGCGCGCACGCGCGCACGCGCACGCACGCGCGCCCACGCACAGACACACGCACACACGCACACACACGCGCGCACACACGCACGCACGCGCGCACACTTACACGCACACGCGCGCGCCCGCCGCGCCGCTGCCGCAGCGACGCCCGACAGCCGCGCCGCCATCCCGCAGCCGAGGCCGACGATGCGCCGCTCCAGCCGCGCAGGGCCACATGGCGCCCTGCAGGGCCCAACGTTTCCCGCCTCGCAGCAGGCTGCAATGCCAGCCTGGGCCAGCAAGGCGCAACGATCGCGCCGCGCGCGGCGCGGTCCGCGCGGGCGCCGCCCAATCGGGCACGGCGCAGACTGGGGCAAGGGGGGGCGGCAGCGAAGGATACTCAAGGATCGGCGCCGCGCACCCGCTGCAGGGCGCCATCGCGCCCGCCGCCCCAGCACCCCCGTTGCAAGCGCTCCGCCGCCGCGTCGCACCAGCGCGTCAGCGCGCAGGGCCCAGCGCCCCGTGGCGGGCGCCCCAGCGCTAAGGCCGCCCGCGCGCATCGGTCGAGCGCAGCCGCGCGCGTGATCGGGGCCCCGTTGGGCGCGAGCCCAGCGGGCGCCAGGAAGACCTGGCTGGCGTCTCCTGGGCGCAGCCTCCGCTGCGGCTTAACTTCTGGCGACGGCGGTCGCTGCGCGCTGCGGTTGCGTTGCGCCGCGCGCGGCGCATGCCGCGCGCACCTGTTGCTTGCGGTGCTGAGGCTGCAAGGCGATGTCCGCCAGAGGTATGAAGCGGGCCAGGTGGGCCCCCAAGCGCACCGCCTGGGCTGCGCGCCATGGCGCTCGGGCGGCCCGCCTTGGCGCTTAGCGCACCGCCCTCTCCCTCACCACCACCCCGCACCGTTGGGGCGCCTGGGCGGGCGCCCCAAGAGGCATCGACGGGGGGCGCTCAGTCTGAACGCCGATGGCGCGCGGGGCCAGATATGCGACACGACGCGTTCGCACCCCAACTCATTCACCGCGCGGCGAAGGGACCCATCGTTGACGCGCGGCGACTTCCGCGCCCCAGCGCCCAAACGTCTGCCGCTTCGCGGGACTAGCCGCTCAAAAGCGGGCTTAACTTTTTTCAAACTTTTTTCGAATGAAAAGTTCCCCGCAAGTTCCGACACAGTTCCGAAAAAGTTCCGACGAATTTGGCGACGTCGTCGGCAAACATTGGAGATGTACGGACGTTGCCCCGAGGTAGTTCCGCAAAAGTTCCCGGGCCCCTCTCAGGGTTCCGAAATAGTTCCGCAATTGTTCCGCAAAACATGTCGACCCTCAGAAAAGGTTAGCCGAAACTTCCGCAGAAGTTCCGCAGCCCATTTCAGAGTTCCGATTCTGTGTCCCCGACGCTTCCGCAGCCCGTTGCAGCGTACCAGAGAAGTTCCCCGAAAGTTCCCCCAAAGTCCCGCAGCCCACTTCAGGGGCCCCAGCATAGTTCCCCGTTGGTTCCGAAATGGTTCCGACACAGTTCCGAAATAGTTCCGCAAAAGTTCCCCGAAAGTTCCGCAGCCCCTTGCGATGGTCAAAAATAGTTCCGCAAAAGTTCCGAAATAGTTCCCCAAAGGTTCCCCAAAAGTTCCCCGTGCCATTCTACAGCGGTTGTTTGCAAACGAGGTAGCGAACTGGCTTCGTAATGTTTTATTTACAAAGCAGCGAACATGCACAAAACAAATGGTTCAGAATTTTGCAAAGTACCCCGAGCTCGGGAAACAAACAGGGCGCAGTCTTCAAATTTTGCACATGTCACTGCCCCCGCTGGAAAAATCTGCAAATTTGACGTAGGTCGCGCATGGCGATCAGCGCGCGGCCTTCGGTGCGTTGGAGCCTTCGGCGTGGGAGATAATTGCGCTGTCGACGCGGGCGCCAGCACCCGTGGTGGGTGGTGCGTGGTGGGTGGGTGGTGGATGGGTGGTGGTGGGGGGTGGGTGGGTGGTGGGTAGTGGTGGTGGGTGGTGGGTGGTGGGTGGTGGGTGGTGGGTGGTGGTGGGTGGTGGTGGGTGGTGGTGGGTGGTGTGTGGTGATGGTGGTGATGGTGGTGATGGTGGTGGTGGTGGTGGTGGGTGGTGGCGGTGGGATGGTGCACACATTTCGCCAAGAACACTGGTTGCATTACATGCTGGGCAGTAGTGTACACAACGTTACATCATACAACACTACTGTTTGTACCACGACGGTCATAACACTACAGCCCAAAGTGCCTGCATGTATTACAGCGTCTTGATATATAATATACAAGTGAGAACACAGGCCATGGTTCCGAAATGGTTCCGACATGGTTTCGCAAAAGTTCGCCGAGAGATCCGCCGCCCATTGCGTTGTCCAAAAAATAGTTCCGCACAAAATACGAAATCGCCCCCCAAACGTTCTCCAAACGTTCCCCGTGTCATTCTACAACGGTGGTTTGCAAATCAAATAAGGCCGCGAGCTGGCTTCGTAATGTTTTGTTTGCGCAGCAACGAAAATGCATAAAAAATGTCAGAAGCTTGCAAGCATTATCCTAAGCTCGGGAAGAAAACAAAGCGCAGTTTTCAATGTCTGCACATTGCACTGTTCCCGCGGGAAAAACCAGCAACCTTGACGTAGGTCGCGCATGGCGATCAGCGCGCGGCATTCGGTGCGTTGGGGTCTTCGGCGTGGAAGATAATTGCGCTGTCGCCGCGGGCGCCAGCACCCGTGGTGGGTGGTGCGTGGTGGGTGGGTGGTGGGTGGGTGGTGGTGGGGGGTGGGTGGGTGGTGGGTAGTGGTGGTGGGTGGTGGGTGGTGGTGGGTGGTGGGTGGTGGTGGGTGGTGGTGGGTGGTTGGTGGTGGGTGGTGGGTGGTGGGTGCTGGGTGGTGATGGTGGTGATGGTGGTGATGGTGGTGATGGTGGTGGTGGTGGTGGCGGTGGTGGTGGTGGTGGGGTGGGGCACATAGTTCGCCAGGCATAGTGGTTGCATTACATGCTGGGCAATATTGTACACAGCGTTGCATCATACGACGTTGCTGTTTGTACCACGACGGTCATGACCACTACAGCCCACAGTGCTTGTATGTATTACAGCGTTCTGAGATATGATACAATATAAAAACAAACAAAAAAAAACAAAAAAAACACCACGCAACAGATCAACAGTGTACCGTCCTTAGCGGTTTTGTCTCAAACTCGTTTCGCTTTGTTGGCTCCCGGAACAAACGCCTGGTGCGGGCGACGCCCTCACACCGTCACATCTGCGCGCCATGCCGCCGAGAGCCAAGAGAGTCCCAGCGCTTCGGTGCCCCAAGTTCGTCCAGGACTGCAGGTGCAATCGACTGAAGAAGAACCTCAAGGCCTTGGTCGTGAAGGCACACATGAACCGCCTCGAGGCTCAGATGTACAAGCGTCGCCTCTCCGCTCTGAACACGTTCGTGCGC